TGCCTAGTGACACCAACAGTTCCCTCCTTTGAGAACACTCAACAAACCTTTGGCAGAGTTTTCTCACACTCTAAAGACAAAATGCGATTGAGCTCCATGCAATTGGGATCATCAATGAGAGGGTATAAAGGAACTTCTGGGGAATGGGAGGTACAAATCTTATGTATGAGCACTTTACAGCAAGCGAGCAAAAGAAAAAGAACAAAACATATCGCAACACCTGTGAGCAGGAGGCGAACAATGCTTCCCCCTAGTCCCCCTAGACCAGGTAGCCAACCCCAAAGGGAATCGAAAATAGTGGGTTCTCCTTCCTGGGCATTCCACTGGTTCAAGGCCTGTTCGGCTGACAAGATGTGCTTGTTAATATACTGTGAAAACTCTGGGACATAGGTACAACATTCTTCTCCAATAAGGGCACAGACCCCGCCTCGTGAGGCTAACACACAATCTAGGGCCTGGCAGTTTTGCAGGGATAATAATCGGAGTTGGTAAAGCTCAGAGCTTATGCCTTTTTCTATGGCTAGGGTATCATTGGCAAACTGGGTGAGAAATTTAGACAGTCTCCTGTAGAGTTGGGCTAGCCGTCCCACCCCATAAGTAGGAAGGAATATCATCCCAAACCTGTCTCCCTCCCCGATGGGTTCAATGGTAGCTGCCAAGGACCGGTAGTACCTGGGGTGACCTGAGGGAGCCTGGCTCAGAACACGGAGGGGAGGAGCGAGATAGCCTTTATAACAGCTACCATGCCAACCATGAGGAAGCCATTTGTAGGCACTATTACCACAGACCCAGAATGCTTCACCATAACTAACTTTTCCATTGTTCCCTTGTAGGTCCCGTAGGGTGGCTTGTGGGGAAAGGGCAAAGAATGCAGTGCCGGTTTGCCAACCGGTGGCATTTAGTACAGGGACAGTGAGACTTATACCAGGACCAATATAAAATCTACATGTACTAATGCCGGCAAACCAGGTATGATTACTTGTACTGGCTTGCTGAAAACATGAGGCCAGTGGGTGGAGAACGTAGACGAATAGGCTGGGGCTTAAGAGTGCTACTATAGTGGGAATTCCAAGAGCCATTGTGCCATACGGAGCTTCCGCGGTACAGTTAGATCGCAAACTTAAATTATCAGAGGTGCTGCTGCTGGTAACCATCCACCTTTGACAAAAGTCTGACCAATTTTGGGGCACTTCTCTCCAGGGCAACCCAGCCGAATGGTGGGGAATCTGGGCACATATCCAACAGTGGGAGAGATTGAACTCACGGGCAAAGGCAATTTTCAGGGCCTCATAGGTATTGGTAGCCATGTCTGCAGGGATGGCTCCCCATCCTGCATGCGATGTGGGTGAAACAGTAGGTAACAGAAGGATTGCTTCTGTGACAAAAAGGAATGTTGTGAGAGACCCTAAACCTGAACCCATATTGTGATTACAACAACCCAAATGCCCAGAAGATAAAAATCAGTGACACCAAACAAATAAAAAAAATAAAAGGACCAGGACCATAGGCTAGGTCAGCCTTCTGTGAATAGATAGAACCAATGCTCAGGGTTCTCGCGGGGAGTGTGCTGTGGCTGTTCAGAGAGATCACAAGGCATTCCCAGTGACCCTTATTGTCTTTTGAATAACAGCTTAAGTCCCAAATCGTCGCTGGCAGTCTTCTCTGCAGGCTGGACAGTCCACTGTTCAGGAGTGGGTACTGCTTTCAGTCGAGAGTGATGAATCCAGTTCTTGTGCCCTTCAACCTTTGCCGCTGTGTGGGAAACAAGCAGGACGGTGTGGGGTCCCTTCCACGTCTCTTGGAGAGGCTCATCCTTCCAGGTCCGAACGAGAACGGAGTCACCAGGCTGTAAGGAGTGGACCGGGGTATCCAGCAGAAGAGGCTGTGAATCTTTGGTGTATCTGTGAAGAGAAGAAAGAGCAGACAGAGAGCACATGTACTGAGACAAGAAACCACACCCCATTTCCCACTCCCCTGCCAGGACCGGTGTACCGTTCAGAGGCCATGCCCTTCCAAACATAACTTCGAAGGGATTAAGCCCTAACCTGCCCTTGGGGAGAGCACGAATGCGGAGTAACACAAGGGGCAAAGCATTAGGCCACCTAACAGAGGCCTCCTGACAGACCTTTGAGAGGTGTCGCTTGAGTGTCTGATTTGTGCGTTCCACTACTCCACTGGCTTGTGGTCGCCATGGTGTGTGGAGCTTCCAGGGGATTTGCAAAGCACTTGATATCTTTTGAACAACTTGAGCTGTGAAGTGTGTTCCGTTATCAGATTCCATCCACTGGGGGTGTCCAAAGTGGGGAATGATCTCCTTGACAAACTTAAGCGCCACCGTTTTGGCAGTGTTGTTACGACATGGGAAGGCTTCGGGGCATTCGCTGAATCGATCCACCAAGATGAGGAGGTACCTGTACCCTTGGGTCCAGGGAAACTCAGTAAAGTCTATTTGCCACACCAATCCTGGGCCTGAGGTAGGTTCCAGGGTGGCTGGCAACACTGCTACTCCTGGTCAAGGGTTATTCTTTTGGCAGATTAAACATTCAGCCTGTACCTGGGATGCTAGGGGTTTTTTAAGTCCAGAGGTTAGAAAATATTTATTTATAAGCTGGGTAAGAGCCTCTCTGCCTGTGTGTGTGGTTTGATGCAATTTCTGCAACACTGGTCGAATCAGGCCCTTGGGCAGGAGGATTTTTGCCTCTGTGGAATAAAGTCATCCCTCCTTTTCCTGGAGACTGAGCCTGTCAGCCAGATTTCTGTCATCATGGGAGTACTTAGGGGCTGCACGCTTACCTGTTGATGGGATGAGGGCATGCATTTGGGCAATCTCCTCTGTTGGTGATTTCAGGGTAGCAGAGCGCTTGGCTTCCCTGTCTGCTCTGGCATTGCCCTTGGTTACATCTTGATCTTCCTTTTGATGGGCTCTGCAATGCACCACTGCTACTGCTGAGGGGAGTTGTACCGCTTCTAAAAGCCGGAGAATTTGAGACCCATGCTTAACCGGGGAACCTTGGGTTGTTAGCATCCCTCTTTGCTTCCACAGATCAGCGTGAGCATGCAATACCCCAAAAGCATACTTTGAGTCAGTAAAGATATTAACCCGTTTGTCTTTTGCCAGCTCGAGTGCACGAGTCAGGGCCACTAGTTTACCTGCTGGGACATCTGCCCAGCTTCCAGCTGAACTCTCAGCTTCCACGGTATCATGGAGTGTCCCAATAGCATAACCCGCCCGCCTTTGCTCATCTACAACAGCACTACTCCCATCGGTATACCATTCCAAGTCAGCATTTGGTAGCGGTTGATCTTTTAAATCTGGGCGGCTGGAGTATTGTGCATCTATGATTTCCAGACAGTCATGTTCCTGCTTTTCTGTTTCTGGTAGCAGGGTAGCTGGATTAAGGGAGGGACAGGTTTGCAGGGTAACTTCAGGGTTCTCTAACAGTTTTGCCTGGTACCGAGCAACCCGAGCCTGGGTGAGCCAGAGACCACTCTTAGTGTCCAGCAGGGCTTGGACCATATGGGGAATATACACTTGCACCGTTCCTCCCAGTGTCAGTTTTTCAGCTTCCCCAAGCACTAGGGCAGTGGCTGCGACTGCCCGCAAGTATGCTGGCCACCCCTTTGCAACTTGATCCAGTTGTTTAGAAAAATATGCCACGGGATGTTTCCAGGTGCCTAATAACTGAGTAAGCACTCCCAGGGCTACCCCTTTCCTTTCATGCACATACAGTTGGAACGGCTTAGAGAGATCCGGCAGACCCAGGGCTGGGGCTTCCATCAACTTCCTTTTCAAGATTTTAAATGCCCTCTCCGCTTCTGGGGACCAGTGAAAGGGGTCATGATCCGCTCCCTTAACACATTCAGACAGAGGTTTAGCCCACAGTCCATACTCTGGGATCCATATTATGCAGAAGCCTGCCATGCCCAGAAGTGCCCTGAGCCGTTTACGGTTGCTTGGGATAGGAATTTGACAGCCTCCTTCCTTTCGTTTGAAAGCTGCCTCTCCCCCTGCCGTATGTGAAAACCTAAATACTGTACTTCTGAGAGAGCAATTTGAGCCTTACTCCGAGCTACCCGGTATCCTCGGAGTCCAACAAAGTTCAGGAGGCTCACAGTGGCTTTGAGACAAGGGATTAGACCCACAGCAGCAATTAGCAAGTCATCTACATATTGCAGGAGGAGGACTCTGTCCGAATTATTCCACTCCTCCAAGTCTTTGGCCAGAGCCTGGCCGAACAGAGTGGGGGAATTTTTAAATCCCTGGGCCAATACCGTCCAGCACAGCTGCTTTTTAGCCCTCCGTTTGTCCTCCCACTCGAAGGAGAATATCTCCTGAGATTGAGTGTCGACTGGAATCGTGAAAAAAGCATCTTTTAAATCTAGGACCGAGAAATGGGTATACTGCCCCCCTATAGAGGCCAACAGAGTATACGGGTTTGGAACAAGGGGGTGCAGAGTCTTAACCCGCTCATTGACTGCCCTTAAGTCCTGTATCAGCCGATACATGCCATTGGGCTTTTGCACGGGCAGAATGGGGGTGTTCCAAGCTGACTGGCATTCTCATAGTACACCGTACTCTAGGAACCGATCTATAGTCTCTTGCAGTCCCTCTCTGGCTTCCCTCTTAATCAGATACTGTTTGATTTGCACTGGGCTTTTTCCTGGGAGAAGCTGAATATGAACAGGGGTTTGATGGGTTGCCTTCCCTGGGACCCCTGATGCCCAGACAAGGGGATACACCTGGTCCTCCCACTGGCTCCACTCTGGGGCTTGCATGGCTGAGGGCTCAACTGCAAGGGTCATTATCCAACCATTCTTGGGAGGTAAGGTAAGGGTTATCTTGAGTAAAAGGCAGCGTGGCACCTAAGCGAAAAAGCAGGTCCCGTCCTAGTAGGGGTGTTGGACAATCGGGGAGGTAAACCAGCCTGTGAGATACAGCCTTGTTTCCCAAAGCACATTCCGCTGGGGCATACATTGGGCACTTAGTTCCTTTCCCTGTGGCACCCACCACTGTGAGGGAGTCTGCCACTGGCAGCTGAAGGGGTTGATTTACGGCTGTCCGTGCTGCTCCAGAGTCTACTAAAAAGTCTATTTCTGAATTTCCCACCCACATTTTTACTCGGGGTTCCGGGGGCAGGATTGTCTGTCTCCCCTAACACCCCTATTCTTGATCCTCCACTGCCATCATAGGGGTACCTTCCCTTTCGGGGCACTCATTTTTCCAATGTCCCTCCTTTCGGCATATAGCACACTGGTTGCGACCCAGGTGCCTTTCCTGGGAACCGGGGCCCCCACATCCACGGCCTCTCATTCCCCGGCCCCTTCCACCTTTCTGTGACCTTCCTCTGCCGCCGGCCTGCACCGCTGCTACCATCATTTTCACTTGCCTTTTTTCTTTCTCTCCCTCTTTAAGGATATAAGCCCTATTTGCAGTCTCCAAAATCTGAGCCATAGACATTCCCATTAAATCCTCCTTTTTCTGCAGTTTCCTTTTAATATCAGAGGCCGCCCAGCTGGTAAAGATACCCTTTATAATTGCCTCAGTTGCCTGATCGTCTGGGTCTGTGCAAGTATTCTGCCGGATGGTGTCCCGAATGCGCTGTAGGAAAGCCACTGGACTTTCTTTTGATTCCTGGATTAGCTCATAAGGCTTTGCCCAATTGTTATGTCGGACAGCTGAGTGCTGGAGGCCATACATAAGCAGTTCCATATAGGAGTTAAGCATTCTCAAATCCCCCTCCTCATTCGGATTCCACCGGGGATCCGCTATGGGGATAGCGATCTCAGGCAGAGGCTTGCCTTCTCTATCCTCATTATGCCTTCTCTGTGCCTCCTCCTTAGCCTTAGCTATAACCTGATTCCGCTCCACCTCAGACAACAAGGTTCTCATAAGTATATTGCAATCATCCCAGTCAGGCTTATGGCTAGCTAAACACCCTTCAAAGATTGAAATAAACTTGCTTGGGTTCATTGAGAGTTCCCCTGCTTCTGTCTTAAAGGCAGCTAGGTGTACTGGGTTAAAAGGAACATGAGAGTACACTGGCACAATCTGGGCTGCGCGATCCTGTGTTCCTGG